TGTGTGTGTGTGTGTGTGTGTGTGTGCGCGTGTGTGTGTGTACGTGTGTACGTGTGTGTGTGTACTCGTGGTGGAACACCAAACCAATGTGCCAGGATCTGGACAATAAAGATGTATCTTATCTTATCTTATCTTATCTTATCTCCTCCTCTCCCTCTCCTGGTAGGCCTATGTGGCTGACGATTCGTTAAGTGGCTGCGGGTTGACGAAAGGGAAAAGCGCCCCGCCGGGCGATACGCGAAACAATGCAGTGTGATTATGGAGCGCCGCCACGAGTGTCACCTCTCTATTACTGTAAACCCTCTCTGCCTGAATCTAGATTTGAATCTAACCAATGGGCCACTTCAAACACCTTCTGCCCTGAGCTACACTTCCCGTTAGCATTATTTTGTTTTGACATGGCGGCGACAGAGTCCAGTATCTTTGCAATTCCAAGCTTATTCCAAGCGTAAGTTTTATTTAGTCCGCTTCCCATTCGTGTGTTTATATTATTGTGTTTCTTGCTTTATTTGCATTTTGTTTGAAATGTGCTTTTTATTTTGAACCTTTAGAAGTTTGTTTACAATCGTAATAACTCTGTGGATGTCGACGCACAGTGCGTCAGTGGTAGATCCAAGACTAGCAAACAAGATCAAGATCCTGACTAACGACGGTGACTGATGTGATATTAATAGCTTTGGATAAATAATCAGATGCTCTTGCAAACTCCTTACAGAGCATGAATCACCCCAAAAATAATATGCCAAATTCCTGACTCTTAAAAGTAACAGCAATGAATTGAATTGAAAGAGAATGAAATCATAGAGTGTGGGATATCAATTAAATTGACCTGAATAGTTTCCAAAACTGGTGGACTGTGTCAAGAAAAAAAATTCTCTTTTTAAAATGAAATTCTATATTAGTTGAACTTGCTCTGAAAGATAACTGTCCTTGACTGAAATCTGCTGTACGGAATCTCCCTGCTCCCATTCTTCTAAACGTTTTAGACAGAAACCTGATCTACCATGAAACGGAAAGAGAAATTTTCCCTCTTGAGGCTTTTCACCTTTTGAACACGAAAAAAGCTTTGCCCACCCCACCCTTATTTGAAGCAGAATGCTCTAGCAAATTTGGTTCAACCATCTCTTAATCTTTACGTTACGCCATGCCTGCAAGCAAGGGAAGGGGTCGTTTTTGGGGTAGCTTACCCCACTCATGTGAGCCCTGAGAGATGCAGGTGGTCAGGGTGGTGTGGGTGTGAAATCTCACCACTGCATGTGAAAGTGCTTAAGTGGCACAACAGCACAGGAATGTACCTTGGTAGCTAGAGGTCATGAAATCAGTTTGACCAATACCACCATCGTAAGACTAACAGAAAGAAGTGCCTCAAATCATTGTTTGAACATATTAGATGATGCCTTGCAGGAGGGGGGTGGCTTTGTGTTTATTACATCAATGGGTCGGGCTAAGGGTGGACACAAAGGAGATATTCAATTGTTTCTGGTTTTATTTGGTCAAACAATGACAATGGTCCGAATTTTATGCAAGCAGTGATGGCAATGGAGGAGTGAGACTGCTATTATTAGAGAAGGTAGACCTACTCTCTCTCTCTCTCTCTCTCTCTCTCTCTCTCTCTCTCTCTCTCTCTCTCTCTCTCTCTCTCTCCCTCTCTCTCTCCCTCTCTCTCTCTCTTCCTCACTCTCTTTCTCTCTCTCTTCCTCACTCTCTTTCTCTCTCTCTCTCTCTCTCTCTCTCTCACTCTCTTTCTCTCTCTCTCTCTCTCACTCTCTCTCTCTCACTCATCAAGGTTAATTTGGTAAATAAGATTTTGGGTCGTGTCTAATAAGTTAGTTGTACATTTACTCTCATTCTTTTTACTGTATATGTTTTACGGATTTGTTTTCCATTAATCGTATTTTGAATATATAAAGAATATTTGCTGTGTACTATTTTTTGTGTGTGTTGACTCTGTGCATGCTAAACTACAATTTGAGTTCCACTTTGTATTTTGGCTCATTCACAGGTCCACCAAGGCAGTAATTCATAACTTACACAACTATGAAGAGAGCCTGTGGGAGACACCAGAAAACATCAAGCAAGCCATTCTCCGGTTGATGAGTAAACGTGGTCTCATAACAGATGAAAATATTGACAAGGTAAAGGAAATTTATATGTGAAACAGCATGGTGAAATCAGGTGCTCGTCAAAATAATGAAATTGAAGAAAAAGGCATTTTCCCAACAATTTGGCAATTTCTATTGAAATTTTGTGTATTTTGGCGAAACACCTTTTATTTTCAAATGAGAACACATTTCAATATAAACTTTACTTTTACTAAAAAACCTAGATTCTAGTTTAAAGGTACAAAATATGTAATTTTCAGTTTTCAAGGACTCTTTAAGCTATTGAAATTGCCAAACATTGGCACCCATTTTCTCGTTAATTTAACCACTGACACTTGGCTACCCCACCTTCTTCAATCGCAAATATCTCGACTTCTATTCAAGAACCTAGATTGATTTCTTTTTTCACTGAAAGCAAGGCAAATGAATCAGCTTTCAGAAGATATCAATAATTCCACATACTCAAAAATTGACGAGCGCCTGATTCCACCACGTTGTGACACATATATGTATAGATTGTATATTTAGTTATCTTTTATGCCTCTATCAACACTGTTGAAATTATTTAGAAGGCCAGCTGCTTCCTACCTGCCTTTCAGTATCACTGCCTACCCAGGATGGAAGATTTACAATGTCCCAACAAACAGATGGAGACTAGATAAAGAACCTCCTCATCTAGAATCTAACTCGTGTTTTCTGCATGCAATGGGTAAACAACTAACTGTTGCATCACAGACTCCGGAATATATAGTATGTGTGTGTGCAAAAACAAACTTGCAAAATTGTATAATTATATAGGTTTAGCACCACTTGCAACACTGTAAGGTTGTTTAAGTAGCAGGACCTCTGAATTTAACATCTGTCTCTGATTAGACAGAGCCAGATGGGAAAATTTCTGTAAAGTGACTTTCCCAAGGACACAACGCCTCTAATCCCCCAAACTTCAAAGTCACTATCACGAGTCTGGTGGCTTAATCTCTAGACTACTAACACCTACGGGTACATTATTCATTATATATTTCTTTTAGATTCTTTGTGAAAGTCAATATATATATACATATACATATATATATATGTCAGTTCTGCTTGTTTAAATGAGGAAACAACTATTGATGTTCTTTTATTAAGGAGGTTTTCAGGATGATGGGTGACTTTCGGGACACCCTGTTTAATGCTCTCTCTCTGGAACAAGTCGTGGTGGGAAAAAGTGGTGTCCTGCTTCTGTGTTGCGAAAATGAAGAAATTGTTTTCAGTGGCCATACACTCTATATAGCCTAAAGTATTTGTCTTCATCAGGTCTTAACTCCCAGGCTGAGATCTCTGGATTTGAGTGGCAGCAAAGTCTCTGATGAATGTCTCTTTAAGCTGTCCAGTGTGAGGCATCTGGTCAAACTGGACCTGAACTCTTTTAAAGAGTCGAATCAGTCCATAACATCTGCAGGTATGTGTTTACTTAATGGGTGACCTTATTTAGGCCACATATGGCCTAAATAAGCTAAACCCCCCTCCCTTACCTTATTTAGGCCACA